CAGCATTACTGTGCACACGATGCTCCAGCCCTGTTGTCCCCCGCCTCTAAAAAGGATGGAGGGAGGTGCATGTCCCCATGGCTTCTTTGGGGCCAATCCCTCTCATCTCATGACACACTGCCGCTTTTGCCCTGTCTGCCGGGCTCATCGCCGTGCACGTTGATTTTCCCTGGTTCCACTTCCTTTATTCTGCTTTTCTCCATGGCCCATCAGTCACTCAACATCCATTTATTAAGCACCGACTATGTGCCGGGCCGGGGCTAGGCCCTGCCCTCGAGAAGCTTCCATTCTAAGAGGGCAGACAACATGCAGATATGTGGGTAATCTGAAGTGGGAGGAGGGGGAGACTGGAAAAGGCCCCTGCCCTGCAGAAGAAGGCGGCTTTGAGCTAAGCCTTGAGGAAAGCCAGAGGAACTCAGAGAGGGGGGTGAGGGGCCAGAGCACTCCAGGTACGGGGGCCCGCCAGGGCCAAGGCAGGAGGCGGGACAGGGAGTGTGAGGACTTTCCTTTGATCCGGGGGGTGCCAGGGACCCCCGGGAGCTACGTCTGGGGCAGACGGGCGACGGGGCCAGAGCGATCATCACCCTTGGCAGGGGAATAAGTTTGAGGTAGAGACCCATCAGAAGGTGATTTCATCAGTCCAGGGGACAGGGCAGAAGCAGCTGGACAGAGGAGATGCCGGGGGTAGCAAGGATGGCGTCACACTTGGTGACTGGGAGGACGGGGTACGGTTTGGTTGTTTTTCAGTCACATCTGACTTTCAGTGACCCCACCCAGCGTGTTCTCAGCAGAGGTACTGGAGGGGTTTGCCATTTCCTTCTCCAGCTCATTTTACAGGTGAGGAAACTGAGGCAGACAGGGTGAAGTGACTTGCCCAGGGTCATACAGCTAGGAGTCTGAGCCTGGATTTGAACTCAGGAAGGTAAGTCCTCCTGACTCCAGGCCCAGGGAATCTATCCACTGTGGCGCCACCTAGCTGCCCTCAGGCGTATTAAGGAAATTCAGAAGTAGGGAGATTTGGGGGGCAAGGCGTCCTATCTGGGACATGTTGATTTGACATGCCTATGGCATATGGGGTTCAAGATGTCCAGGGGGGAGTGGATGACGGGAGATTAGAAATTAGCACAGGTCTAGGGCTAGCTGTAGAAAATAATTAGCATAGAGATGCTGAGGGGGAAATTGGATCATGGGAGCTGGTTAGAACGCCCAGCGAGAGACAGAGAAGAGGAGGAGGCCGGGTCAGACTCCCAGGGACACCACAGGTTAGCAGAAGACCAATGCAGTCCTCTTGGTCAGGTCGGGCTGAATGAAGGCGTGGAAGACAGGAGTCTGGCTCCCTTGGGTGGGGGACCTCCTGTGTGCTGGGGACAGAAAGAATGAGGCCCATTTTGTAAGTGTTTTGTGAGCCCCACAGCCCTCGGGAAGGACCTCGCTCTTGGTTATTATATGGGGGCTTTATGGCGCCCTTCCGCACCCCTCATTTGAAACTCAAAAGTCTTGGGGCATGTTGGTCGCCCCCATTCTACAGATGAGGAAACGAAGGGGACGGAGTGTGAGCAAGGCTATGCAGTGAGTTGTGGCTGAATCCAGGTCTCCTGACTTCTCTTCACAGACAGCCCAGGCCCCAGAAGATAGGGGGCCTGCCCGAAGGGAGCTTGGAGTCTCCTGGGGTGCCGTACTCCCCACGTCCTGGCTCCCTCCTGCCTGCCTCTGCCAGGCCCCTGCAGCAGGATCCTGGGTAAAATGAAGCGTTGGGTCGGGGTGGCCTCTGACACCCCTTCAGCACCGAATCCAAGAGGCTGGTGCCCCCCCCCCCCCCGGCCAGGCAAGGCCACAGGGGCACCCCCTGGAGCAGTGGGGAGATCTGGCTTCGAGTCCTGAAGTCCTGACTTCCTAGTTCTGTGACAGAAAGGCAAGTTGAATCTGGGCCCCACTAAGCCTCAGTTTCCTCCTCTGTAAAATGGAGATAATCTTTGTGCTGCCTGCTTCCCAGGCCTCTTGGGAGAAAAGCATATTTAACCATCAAACATCCTAAAGTGTGAGTCATTATTAAAAGGGAGATGGGCTGCAGCCTCAAGTGCCCCCCACCGTGGTTTCCTTGGGGGCCCTGGGCACTGATGGGATCTCACCTCATTAAAGGTCACACATACCGGCCACTTTCAGGTCAGCAGAGGCCCTCTGGAGCCTCAGACAGACGGGAGCGGGACAGGAAGAAGAGAAGGCAGGGGGGCTGCGGGCTGCCCTGGGACTGACCCACGCCAGCTTTCCTGCTCTGGACAAGCCACCAGTCACAAGTGGCCCCTGTCTCCCTCTTATCCGAGGCAGCTCCAGACACCACTGACTGTTTCTTCCCTAGTGGAGAGGAAGGCTGCGCCCCCGGGCTCGGTGCCAGGGCCGGTTCCAAAGGCCGTGAGCCTGGAAGTCCCCGGGAGGCTTGCCAGGGATCTACCAGAGAAGAAAACTGAGGCTCTGAAGAGGAAAGGGGCTCGAGAGAGGCAGAGCCAAGGCCTCTCTGCCAGGGCCCATGGCGTCGGCTCCTAGACCTGATGTCAAATAAAACCGTCTGTCCCAGGGCACCCCCACCTGCTGTCTCCTCTCATCTCTGGCCTTCCTCTTTCATCTTGGCTGCTAATTAGCCAGGAGGCCTCCCCACCCCCAGCCTCTTGGGGGTCATTATCCCTGTGTTATATCCAGGGAAACTAAGGCACCTAGAGGGGAAGTAGTTGGGGCTGGGGTGGGGTGAGTCAGGAGCTGAGCCAACAGCAGGCTGGGGGCCTGGCTGACCCAGAGGTGCCAGCAGACCAGCACCTGGGGACATCTCTGCTAGGTCTCTCCGCCACCCCCTGGGGACTTGCTGTCTGGGCCCCATGGGCCTTTCTTCTCCCACACTGAGGTTTCCCCTTCCCCTTGTGGGCTGCTGCCCAGGGCAGCTGGGCTGGGGTGAGGGTGAGGGCCGGTCCCTGGGAACACTAGCCTGGCCCACTTGTGCTTCAAAGCCCTGGGCTGATTACGACCAAAGGGCATTAGGGAGCAGGTTGTGGGTGCCAGTCTGTGCTCCCAGGAGTCCCCGTCCTGTAGGTTTGGGCCACTGGGACCTTCTGTCTCTCTCGGGCTTGGAAGCCTGAGCCTGAGTCTGAGAAGAATGGAGGTGCCGTCCAAAGGACCACAGAGCCCAAAGGCCTGGTCTTCACTCCCCCTCCTCCTCTGGGCGACCCTGGGCTTCTGCATCTGTCAAATGGCAATGACTAGCCTTGGCCCACCAGCCTCTCAGACTGCCGTGAAGGCTCTCTGTAACCCCCACACAGAAGGGGGTTATTGCCAGCGGCTGTCAAAGGCGCCAAATGCTGCCAACACGCTTGGAGCCCACAGCTCCGGGCTGGCACCACGCCAGAGCAAAGCGCTTTGCGCTGAGGGAGGGAGGGAGGTGTGTGGCCGGGCACCCCGGGGGGGACACGAGGTGACCTGGGGAGCTTTCTCTCACAATCTCCCTTTGCTCATCTGTAAAAAGCTGGTTGAACTGGGAGATCGCTGCCGTCCCTCCCAGCTGAAATAGCCAGGGCTCCCAAGGGCCCTCCCATGCAGGATGTGAACCCAAGTCTTCCTGACCCCAAATCCAGGACCCCATCCCGTAGGCCAGGCAGCTCTGACGTTGAGGGTATTTATTATGAGGGGTGGGAGGTCTCCAGGGCCCCAGGGTGCCCCTTGATGCCCAGGGCTCTGGCATGACCCCGGGGGCCCCTGGTCAGCCAGGCCTGTCCTCCGGCCGGGGGAAGTTGCCCCAGGAGGGGGCCAGGGTGCCCACTGCCCCCAGCCTGCCCCAGCCTGCCAGGGAGCAGAGCCCAGGGCCCAGGGGTGGGGTCCACAAGGCCGAGCCCAGCCCGCCTAGCGCCTGCAGCCCCGGCCTGACCGGTTCTGGGAGCAGGCCGGCCCGCAGACTCCCAGGTGTGGCTCTCGGGGCACGCTCGGCCCCGCCCAGGCCCTGGGTCCCAGGGGCCCGTTTCCTGGAGGGGGTCAGCCGTGGGGTCCCCCCAGCCAGTCCTGCCTGGGAGGGGGAGACAGAAGCAGGCCGGTGCTGGGGGGCAGCCCGGGGGGGCTCCTCGGAGGCGGAGGCCAGAGTTCGCGGGCCAGCGGGCGCCCGCTCCGCCCCCACGCCCGGCGGTTTCGGGGAGAGGCGCGCCTCTCCCCCCCCCCCCCCCGCTCCGGGGGGGGGGGCCCCCCCCCCCCCCCCCCCCCCGTGGCAGAGTAACAGTTACTCAGCCCCAGCGAAACCGACGAGCCGGCGCCTGCCCGGCCCCCCGCCGGGGCCGCCCCGTTACTGCCCCGCCCCCCCTCGGGCCAGCCCGTTAGGGGGGCGGGGGCGGCGCCCGGGTTTCGGTGCCGGCAGGGGCGGACGGGCGGGCCGAGTCGGGACGCCCCCGCCCCCGGACGCGGGTTCCAGTCGCCGCCCGCGGCTGCCCTCTGGAGGGGACTGAGCCCTAGGGTCCCCCTGCGGCGCTGCCATCGCCCCCCTCCGGGTTCTTGGCCCCGGCCGGGTGCCTGCCGTGCTCGCCCGCCCTCCGGGGGAAGCCCCGGGACCCCCGGCCCGGACTAACGCGGTCACGTGAACGTCAATTACCACTCGGCCCAATCGCAAGGTCCAGAGTCCCCGGAGTCCCGGTGTGGGCCCCGGCGCTCTCAGCTTCCTCGGCCTCGGCACCCCTCCCCCTCCCCCTCCCCTCCCCCCCCCCCTCCCCTCCCCCTCCCCGCCACGCCACGCCACGCCGCCGGCCGGCCTCGGTTTCCCGGGTGACTTCAGCACGCGAGGATGGGGAAGGGGCGGGGCGGGGCGGGGCAGGTCCCGCGGCCTCGGACCCCTCCTGGCGGACGGAGAGGGAAACAGGAAGGAGGACGGAGCTTCTGGGGGAGGGACGAAGCCGGCCAAGTGAGGTGTCCGGCCGTAGCACTCGGCCCCCCGCGACGCGTCCTGCCTCCTCCCCGCGCCGCCGCGGGGCTGGGGGGCCATGGGTCCGCGCAGCGCGGACGCGTGGGCCCGGGTGCTGGCGGCGCTGCGGGCCAGCCCGGCCGCCTTCGTGGCCAGGGCCGGGGCAGAGGCTCTGGCCGCCGAGCTGCTGAGCGAGCTGCGCAGCGAGAGGCTGAGCGAGCCCACCAAGGTGGGGGCCCCC